GAGGGGAGGGGAGGGGGGAAGGGGGCGGGGAAGGGAGCTTGCCTGTTGGTCACCGTCCCCGGGAAAGGGGGCTGGGACAGCTCACTGTCCTAGTGCTTGAGATGACCTTGACGTAGAATTTATTTTAAAGTCTTAGAACATCGGCCTCCACGCTTCAGTGTGTGGTCAGTAGAGGAAGAGATCTTGGGGAACGGGTGCCAGGTCCATGGCCGGATGCACACGCAATCTGCCTCCTCTCTCTTCGTCCAACCTCCCAACGAGGATGAGACAAGCCATGTTACACCCACGGCACCACCCAACCTGAATGTGCACTTTAAACCCACTCTCCAGCGCGTCCACAGGCCGGACGCAAAGCCCCAGGACACAGTTCCTGCCACTTGCTGTCCACACAGCAGCCCCTCTGCCCCACGGGCCCCGGCGGTCTCTGCTTCCCACGCCCCACAGAACCCTGGCTTCCCATCCACCCTGATCAACACCGGCCGGCAGGGCACATGAGGGACCTGGACAAGACTGCACACCGAGGCAGAGTGGGGACGGGGTCCCTGCTGGCCCGGGAAGCCCCATTGGCCGGTCCTGGGCACTGGAGAGGCGCAGGGTAACTCTGTCACCATCCGTGGTTCCCAGTGGAGCGGCCAGGTCACTGTGCTCAGTTACACGTCTGTCTGCAGGTGGATATCGGTGCTGCCCTCTTCCTGATCGCTCAGCCCAGCACCCCCTATAATTAACCAGGACCCCTCCTTCTCCTCTCTTGCCGTCAGGAAGGACCTCTGATAATTGACACGTGATCTCTGCTGAGAAAGAGGGCTGAGCTGGAGACGCCAGAAACCAAACCAGAACAACTTCCCTCCGCTCTTCTCCAGAATGGCGAGATGAGCCCACGGCGAAGCATCTGGGCTGGGAGTGGGACGCCCCTCCCATCTCGGACTCATCAGCACCAGCTCTGGAGCACAGGGTGCACGGGATGAAGGGACACCAGCTTCTGCAGGATAACCGGGCCCCCGACCTTCCCGCAGAGGGACTTGCTTGCTGGGCCCGAGCGGCCTGCCCAGCGGCACGTGGACAGCATACTAAGAGGTTGTGCAGAAGCAAGGACACATTTCAACACAGAACACTGACTGGACCATGGGGTCACGGGTTTGGGAATGTGCATGACACGACCACAGGGCCACAACCCCAGATGCAGGCCGCAGAGCTACACGGGCAGGGGCCCTGTTCAGTTCTCTGTTCATCCCCATCCCCTCCGCAGTGACCAGCCGGAAGATGGGCACCAAGAGCGTGGACACACTGGGGCCTCCTGTGTCAGCTCAGTGGTCTCTCCCCGGAATCCACCTCCTCCCCTGACTCCAGTGAAGATCCCACCCAATCCTCACAGCCCACATCGAGTGTCACTGCCTTTCACCCTCCTGTGGACCAAGGTGCCGTCTCTGGGCCCCCAGGCGTTTGGGCCAGTCCCGCCTCCGTTCTCCTGGGCCCAGTGCATTCTTATGCCCTGTGCACTGGACCACCTGGTCTGTCCTCTAAACCCTGGAGGACAGGGACTGCCTTATTTTCTTATCTCTATCTTCAGAGATTATCAGCACTGTGCAGTAAGTGGCGCCCACTGGGGACACAGTGCAGCTCAATAAACACTGGATGAATCAAGAGATAAGTCAATGGAAAACACAGAGTGCATCTCAGACTTGTCACTGTGGGAGATGCTGCCCCAAGACGCCACCTCATCCCCTCAGGTGGGCACCGGAGAGGCCCTCACACATCCTAAGCCCGCCTCCCCCATCAGAAAGAGGCTCCAACCAACACGTTCCCAAGGACAGGCAAAAACCAAGCTTTTAAGAAGATGACAAATATGTAAGTAACAGAAAAAAAGAGAGCTGAAGAAAATAAAATGCAATTTGGTTTGAAATATTTAATTTAGCCATACAAAGAAATGTAATATTTAGCGGCATGTCTAGAGTAATGGCCTCGTGAGGAATGGGCTTTTTCACGGTAGAATGTGGGCATTACACTCTCTACTATGTAATTTCCTGTTATGAATCAGAGTCTGCAGTTCCAAATGGCCCCAGGATTACTTATTATTATTTCTTCTCTTTACTTCTTGAATTGTATTATCAACTGATGAAACTCTTGAGTCTCTCATTCAATTCCTTTCCTTTATATCATAAGTCTGATGCATTGGGTCTCCTCCAGGTTATATGTAGTCATGCTGACAGAGGTTAAAATGACCTGAGGCAGCCACTGTTTCAACTGGAGATTTCATTTCTCTAATTGACATGCATTTCCCAGAACTGCTGGCTTAAAAATGATAAAAGATCTTGCTGGCTTAAAAATGATAAAAGATCTTGCTGTCTAACATGATTTACTCTAATACAAATTTC